AATTTGCTTTTATGGAATTAAAATTATGTTTAACACGTCTTCTTAGATTTTATTCAATTCTTCCTACAGAAAATCTTCAACAAAATTTCATTCAACGAGAAACATTAGTTATTCAACCAGATTCAATTTATATTAAACTTGAAAAACGTTCATTTGAAAATTTTCAATAAATGAAATAAAGTAAAAAACACTATATTTGATTGATTTTGTCAAAAATGCTTTTGAGCATTGTATTTGATAACTTAAACGAATGATGAGAAGAAAAAACAAAGCGAAGGAGAAGAAAAATATTTATTTGAGTCCATATAGAAATATATATATATATATTGATTTTCAATTAATTTCTTTTTGTTAGATATCGTTTTTCTTTTTCTTTTCTTTTCTTTTCTTTTATTAGAAAAAAAAACCCCGAGTATATCAATTTCATTTCGTCGTATTTCTATCAAAATAAGAAAAATAAGAAAAATACATTTGTGTCTTTGAGAATTTAGTAAAACAAAACAAATTCGATGTTAAAATTTACATATTTTTTCTTTTATTTTGGAATATCAATGATAAATGGTGAAATTCGACGAGTAAATTATCCATTAGATAATGATATAACTTCTTTAGAATCTGATGGAATTATAAGTTATGTTATAACTCAACTTCATGGAAATATTTTAAAAAGTACATTACAAATTGAAACTGAACAATGGGTTCATGATTGTTGTATTACTATTAAATCGAAAAATACTTTAAAAATTAATATTAAAAATGGACAATATCCAAAAATTATTGCTTATGTTGGAATAAGAAAATCTTTATCATTAATTGAAATGTCAGGAACAGAACGTATTCGAACAACAAATTCAATTAATTCACAATATTTAAAATTAAAAATGTCTGGATCAAGTAGTGGAGATATTCAATTAAATATTTCTTCAAAACTTTATATTGAAATGTCTGGTACAGCTCATTTAACTTTATCAGGTCATGTTAATGATTCTGCTATTATTCATTTAACTGGTGTTAATACATTTGATGGAACAAGATGTTCAATAGAAAAAGTTTCTTTATTTGTTACTGGTGTTGGAACAGCATATATAGTTGGTCATTCAGCTGTTGATATTGATGTTTCTAGTGTAGGAACAGTTTATTATAGAGGACCAATTAGAAAATTACATTATACAGGAGTTGGATCAGTTAAATCAATGGATAATTGGAGTAAATATTCATATAGATCATCAGCCAATTACAAAAAACAAAATTATTTTATATTTGTAATTTTCGTCATAATTCAATTTATTCGTTCTTTTTTTATTTTATTAAAATGATAAAATGAAAAGATTAGATTTGAATAATATATTATTAAATGACAAGTATATTAAATCGTCTTTTTTCTCCTCTTATAATGTTTGTCGATAACAATTTTTTTTTCTCTTTCTTTTTTTTTTATTAACCAATCACATCATAAATTGACAATTTCTTTTCTTTTTTATTTTCTCATTTTTCATTTCAATAAAGTTATTATTCAAACAAATGTTCAATTTAATGTTTTAGAATTCTTTTCATTCGTAATTGATGTCTTGTCTTTGCTTTAATATTAATTGGATTGAATGTAGCAGCATATTTTGTAAAAGTAGCGTACATTGTTATAGTTTGAATCGGCATCATCAATAACATGATTACAGCACTCATAATTCCTACTGTTTGTTGACAAACATCTTCCTATGAAATTAATAATAGACATAGAGAGAAGATATATTTATATTGAAATGAATATTTACAAAGTCTTTTGGATACATAACAGCAACTGTTGATTCAGTTGTTGAACCAGACATAGTTGGACCAACTGATGTGGAAGCTAAAGAAAAAGAAAGAAATTAATGAATTTTATTTAAATTATGAAAGAAAATCAATTGTTCATTTACCAACTGTGGTTACTGCAGTTGTTGATGTTGTTCCTGTTGTAGTTGCTGGAATTGTTGTTGTTATAACAATACCAGTTGTTGTTAACTATTGAAAATAAATTATCAGAAAATTTGATATAAAACAAAGAAAGAAATCGTACTAAAGTATTGATACTAGTGGTTGATGTTGGTTTTGTAGTGACTGTTACTGTTGTGAAAGGTGTTGTTGTCGTTGTAGTCGTAGATGAAACTGCAGGATTCCATATATTAAAGACCCAAAAAGTTGGATCATACATTGGTGCAGATTCAGGACCACAAAATTCTGTTCCACTAGCAACGCCTAAATTTACAACTAAAGAAAAGAAGACGAGGAAAATATGTCATCATACCACTGTCCATTGTGACATAAAAGAAATGTCCAGGAGTCCACGGTGCAACTGGAAAACGAATGACAATTGTGTAACCAGTATATGTCACTGCAGGATCCCAACCACAATCGAATTGTTGAACAAGTGAACCACCATTACTGGCATTTCGAAAATAAATAATCGTCTGATTTCTTGTTGGACGATTGACGTATTTTGAAGCTAGGAACAGAAATCAACTATAATAATACGATTATGTTATGTAAATATTACTTTGAATAGAGAAGACCGTATGATTTTGAAATATTGTACCAATTGGTGATGCTGAACCTTGAACTAGTGTTGGTCGAATAACATCAGGCGATTGAAAACCAACTAAATATGTGATACACCATTGATTTGATTGAATATTTGTATTATCAATAGCTGCCATGCAAATTCCTTGTGGACCATACTGATCGGCTAGAGGAAACCAAGAAAGAGTGATTTCATATTGACCAGTAGTTGGATTTGAAATGCCACTCTTTGTCACACCACGTGGCACAGTCGAGATAAAGTCCACAATACTCTTTCCAGTACAATAGACTTCCACAACAACACGTAAAGTCACATTGTCACCGGGCATCACACCAATACAAGCTGTAAAAAGATATTATCAGAAAAATAAGCATTGAATTTTGCTCATTTGGAAGTTGAAGATACTTACCACGATTTGGTCGATCACCGACAATTGCTGGCGGTGTACTACAACCACCAGGATTTGGATAACCGTAGAAAAGAAACTGTATTGGAACAGAACTCATTGGACTATTTGTCAAAAGTGCTGCATTATCATAAAAATCTTCAATTTGTAATGCAACTCCATAATACCAATAATCTGTTGTCAATGTAAATGACATTGTACAATTAGTTCCAGTTAGAGTAGCAGTAACTCCACCAGGAACACCATTGCAAATGCCCATACATTCATCAGCTGAATTCACATTTCCTGATGAAGTTGACCAACGACATTTTAATATATCAGTTCCATCAAAATCAGACATTTGAACAACATGTGTATGTAGAATATTCGTTTGTTTGTAGATAATTGGAAGTGAAACAGCAACAGGACTTGTATTTAAATATCCATCCGGTCGAAGAATTGTACTAATTCGACTAACAACACTCCACGACAAAGTTCCAGTTCCTGCACCTAATGCATTAAGCCAAGCGTTACTGGAGAAACGAACACTGAACGCAGCATTGATCGGAATTGGAAAATAAGCATAGTATTCACCGGACATTGTATTGAGAGCAGTATTAAAATCAGTACACCATGTACGTGTGTTCATTGTCGCACCACCAGTGCTCCAATGAGAACCACAAGCAGCACCAGATATACAAGCAACAGGGCTGCTGTCACCGATCATGGGAGTTTGCGCAGCAATGATAGCAGATGTACAACGTGAGGCTACGGGATAATACGTTGTACGCCATGACCACCGTTCACGCACTATCATTTGTATTGTACCGGTGGTTTGTGAATTGTTGTAAGGACGCCTGAAATAGATATTGAAGAAACAAAATACGTGGAATATAACAGAAACTCACGCTGTTATTGTTCCTCCATAGAAATGGGAAGGATGCACAAATGAAACTTGCAGTATAAAAAGGATGAGAGAAAAAGTACCAACCATTTGTTTAAGCGTTTGTTCTGATGAAGAGAAGAAATGAAATGCACGTAGATTATTTTAGCGTGTTTATATAGAAAAAAATAGATGACGCAATTTAGCAGACATTTGAAAAAAAAAGGGAGGTGGTGTATTTGTTTTTGAAAATAAACTTTCGTTTCTTTTTTAAATACACAATACTCCTATCCTAATGTATTTACATTTCGATTGCTTTTCTTGTCACAAATACAACCGAAAAGTTCCAATTCTCTTTTGTTTTTAAAGTAAAAAGAAAAGCTGTCATGATTTCCACTCCTTTTTTTTCTTTTTGATTTATAATTTAAGATTCAAAATCCTTGAGAGCACTTCTAAAATGAAAAAAACAATATCTTCTGTTTTGATTGATTTCGTAAACAGAACGAAACGCATTTTGTGCGGAAAGAACATTTTCATATATTCAAAAAGTCAATACGTCACCAGAATCGGGTGGATATAACTTCAGTGAGTATATACGATAGGATTGACCTGAGAAAACATCAATGTGATTAGGAAAAGCATGATAAGGGTCCATTGAGGGATCTGAGTGTACTTCAATCAGATTAAATTTTGGATTTATTGAAAGATACGAGTGAAGGGAGACCATATCACGAAGACGTATGTCAACCAATAGACTGGAACACGGCTCAGAGTTTGATAATGAGACTGATTGAACGAATAACTCACAGATTATTAAAACAAAGAATTGATGTTTTGCTGTATGATTCTGTCTTCTATCGGATACACTTTTTTCAGTAGATGATAAAAAAATATGCTTTTGCAGGAAAACAAATCTTACATTTCGACATCGGAGACATGGTTTCAACTAAATTAAACGGCGTAGTTTATAAATTCGACTTTCTCATTTATGACGACTTTTTTTAGTTCCTAGAAAATGTTATGACAAAATAGTCAGTTCGAATTTACCAGAAAAGGAAATTTCCATGAACTCCTTGCGTCTCAAATCATCCGATCGAGTGCATTAATAAACGCCTTTCGAGACCTATTGAGATTGTTGTTTATGGAAATCTAATAAGATTATTCAACTGAAAATAATTACTTTCCACACGAAAATATTTTCCCCTCACCCACACCCCGAGATTTCGAGAAAAGCGTATTTCAGTGAGAGATTTTATTGAATTTTGCAAAGTTAGTCAACAATGAAAAGAATCTTTTATTTCTCATCGTGTATAGTCATAGGTATCAGGTATAATATTCGCCGATGTAGTGGTCTTCCTCGTCGCATTAAGCGTATTTGCACCTTCACCATTGAATAGATGACGACATTCGGACCAATAAACATGACCGCAAAAGTAGAAGTCAACATTGAAGTTATAAAATACCTCGGCAAAAGCTTTCTGACACGAGTCACAATTATCATTATGGTTTATTTCCTCGTCGTTTCCTAAGTCACCTATTATGGTAATATTAATTGGATTAATTGTACCGACACGCGGTAATTCCTCAAACGAATATGTTTTAGATTGGAGATAATAATAGCGAGTGGATGGTCTTCCACATAAGACGCAGTTATAGAACCAGGAATTCACTAATGGTGCTCCGTAAGATGAGCTGTCTTCAGCATCGGTGAAAGTAAAACTGGTATTGTAATCGATTGTTGAACTGGTGAGTATATTGTTGTCATGATCGAACGGAAAATGAGAAAAGTTCCAGATAATATGTGATTTCCAAGAGACTATTGATTCATTTTCTTCACTAAATTCTACACGAGCCAAGTCAGACGGACGAGGAAGAAAGCATGGAACGTCAGCGCTGGCATGAAACACATATACAGGAAATATGAAAACTTGATCGATGAATTCCATTGTTATATGATCATATATGTCTAGTAGATACAATTGAAAACTGTTTAAAATCATTGCATTATATATAGTGAATATATTGTTTGTCTTTTTTGGAAGAAAAATGTTCTCGAAATTCAGTTTCGCCTATGAGAATGTAATCCATAAGGTCAAACAGAAGATGCGCCTACTCAGAAACTATTATTAACTTCTCATATTGAGACGCAAAAGCAGTTATCTGAAAGCTAATAATGGTTTTTGAGTAGGCACAGCTCTTTTTACGCCTTATGACTTACATTCCCATAGGCGAAACTGAATTTCGAGAACGTTTCTCTGTCAATAAAGATAAGTACTATATTCGTTGTATTTATTCGTCCTTCGGATTTATGCAAAAGTGAGTTCAAGGACAGGCGAGGGTGAACATTTTTATGACTGAAATCGATACAGCTCGTTATAAGTTTGATCTGAACCAGTCTTGGAGTTGAAATAAATGATTGGTAGACGAATCGACCCGACTTTTTTTCCAAGTTTTATTTGTGAAACCAAGGTTAGTACCGATGAAACTATACTGAAATGAATCTACTTAAGGAAAAGTCAAATCTTGCTCAAACGTATCTGACGTTCTTGTTTTATAAGGAAACAAACGCAAAGTGTTACGATGATGAAACTCTTCTTAAGGTCAGCATCCTTACTTTGATATTATTACTGTTTCTATCATTCTATATAACGGCTCTCCTAGGATGATTAACAATATTGATCTGTAACACATTGTCCGATGACCATCATCTGTTGAATTGACTTCTATTTAATGAAATTATTTTGAATAATTCTCCTTCATACCATCGATACTCAATGATTTTGCTCTAGTACCATCACCAATATTGTATACTGTTGATTATATTACTTTGTCTGTCTCTCTCATCCATTTTTTATACAGAGAGGAGCATTCGCTCTCCTTTGATGAAACACACACATTTTTGTACTTAGTTTATGTGTTTCTTTCCTCGAATCCTTCGTTCAAAATAGTTCAATTGTAGAGTCCTCGGCAATCGAATTATGTCATTCCTCATGTGATAATAATTCTTGAATTTCATTTATTGAAAAAAGAATAAAATTTTACAGCGTTGTACAACAAGTTGGTCGTTTAGTTTTTGGTTGAATTGAATCTGAATGAACAGTACGTGTAAGTTGATTATTAAAAGATTGAATATTATTTAAAAGAACATTTCCATTTGTATCAACAGACCATTGTTCTTCAAGAAGTAAAGTTGGATTTTCATGTGTCAACTGTCCATCATTTGTTAAACTTAATGTTTTATATTGAACAATCAAAGATATTTGATCTGTATTTATAAATTTCATTGTTGCATATCCATTATAACCTAAAGGAAGATCAGGTAAAAGTAAATTATTATGAAAATGATAAAGTCGATCATCATAAAATAATAATTTGGTTTCACGAGATTTCTTTGGAAGTTCTTTCGCTAAAGTTGGAAAACCTGAATTTCCAATACAACGACCATAAAATGTTAAACTATGATTCGATGAAGTTTTTATTGTTTGTTTTTCATAAAAACTCAAACGATGTTCATGACCCCATAAAAATAAAATGGTTCGTCCTTCTGGTAATAAAGATGCAATTTGAGATTGAAAATCTACAAATGAAAACTTAAAATAAACGATTCGTTTGAATAAATGTCTTAACCTGTATTTGGTTTTTCATTCCACGCACTTAAAACTTGATGATGAGAGAAAAAGATTAATCCTCGTTTATCATTCATTTGTGAATGAAGACCAACAATATTTCTTAACCAATTCATTAATTGATCAGGTAATTTAATAGATGAATTATCAATATTTAATAAAGAAAACGAATCATAACCAGTATCTAATCCAATTATTCTCCATTGATCATTTTCTAAAAGCCAATAAGATGTTTTTTGTGAATGAATTGGTTCAGTTAAATTCTCAGGATGAAATAATCCAAGATTTGGTAGAAAATAATCATAATAACCAAATCCTCGACTATAAAATTCATGATTTCCTGGTATTGTAAAACTTCCATATTTTCCAATTGGCCATCGAACACCTTGATCAGCCCATTCAGGTTTTCTTCCAAGACAACAATGTTGAATTTCACTTGGTAAACCAACATAATAAATATCACCTAAATGAATTGTATAATCAGGTAAATCTTTTGTTGCATTTTGTTGAGGAATTGTTAAATCTAATCCATTAACCATTGCACGAGCCACAAGTGCTGATTCGAGTGTTCCCGCTCCCCTTCAAAGAAATTCCAATCAATAAGAAAGATCTTTACAAGAATGAATTTACCAATCTGAAGCTAAAGCGATGTTAATCGTTCCATTTTCATCTCCATGCATTCGATAAATACCCATTTCCCATTCATTCCATTGTTTCTCTTTGATATTCATTTGTTTTTGAATATCATAAATCGAGAATTCATGTCTTTCACCAAAATGTGATAATAAATATTTCGTTAAATAATTTAATTGTCCATCGAAAGTATCAAATAGTAAATCTAAACTTTCATTTGGATAAATTCGATGTTGATTTGTTTGAATTCGACATCCATTTAGAATTGGAAGACGATGAATTAAACTTTCACGAAATTGATTCACAATTTTCGAATCCAATTCCACATTTTCACTTTGATGAAATTTCAATTGAAAATTATTCACAAATAACAATAAATCTTCTTTTTCAATAATCGAATTGAATTCCAAATTTTCATTTAAGATTTTACCGTGAAGTTCAAAATAAATTTTATTCAGAGGTTTTTCATTTGTTGAAGAAAAATGTTCAGAAATGAATTGTTGAACATGTTCTTCTTTTAAAATATCTTTCAAAATGATATTTAATGGAAATGTCACTAAAGTTGGTGAAGATGAAGAACATTTTGTTGAAATTGACGATGATAATAGAAATGAAATTTGCGATTGATCAATTTTATATTCAATTGAATTGAAACTTTGTTTTGGACGAAGACAAGGCAATCGATTCATTTCATTGAAACGAAATAAATCTTTTTTTTTCTTCTCGATTCTTTTCTTTCTAATGAATATTTATCGAAACATCTGTGACCAAATCATCAAACTATTTTATATTCAAACAAATTCTTATCGATATTCTACAATCTTATGTCAAACACATGTGCAAAGCATTTTCTAGATTTTTCATCAACTTTGTTTCTCATTAACCTTTGACGACCGAATGTTGCCATTTTACCAATGTTAATTTACTTTTCGAAATGATTTTATAAATAACAACATATTTGTGTATGTTATCATTTGATGACAATTTTGATTCTATTAGAGAGAATAATTCCAAAAGAGAGAAATAAAAATGATGAAGAAACAGGAAAAGAAGAAAAAAGTCTTGGAAGAACAAAATTCAATGATCGAATGAAATAAAGTTGCTTGATGAACTTTTTCTTTTTTGCTTTGACGAAATTTCTGTCGACGATGACTAAACCATACCTGAAAAATATCAATCGAACAATTTCTTCAAATGAAAATCTTCATTTCTACTTGAATTTTCGCTTCATGGAGATTTAATCTGATTCCAAGTTTTTCACGTTGATGTAGATCTGGATAATGAGTCACATTGAAAACTAAAGGAAAATTCTCAGATGAAATCGTTCTTGATTTCAATCTGAACATCATACCTTCTTCTAAAGTATCTTTTTGTTGTTTTGTCAATATCATTGGTTCATTTTGTACTTTGAAAAGATCCGATTCAAGTCGATTATTCGCTTTGAGATGATCTAATATTGGAAAAAAATATCTCGAAATTCTCGAAAAGTATCGAATAGTAAGATGAAGTGTTTTATGTCGAGCATTTCTCATTCGTTAGTTCGAATTTTGTTCACATTTTCTCTCGTATTGATATTGATTTTCAGAGATTATTTACCTACTAAAGCTTGATAGTATTCACGATTTGTTTCATTCACTTGTGGTTTCTCTTCGGAATTCATATTCTTCAAAGTCAAATCCAGATTTTGAAGAATTCTATGGATCGCCGAGACCTGAAAAAGAAAGAGAAATTCACAAGAGAAAGTCTCTTTGAAAATCAACCTACATTTGGAAGATCTTCGAGATTGTAATTCATTTCTCTGATAAGATGTTCACGAATTTCCCATGCAAACGCAGATGGAGCTGCACATTTATATTCAATGATCTTCTTTATTATATCACTTTTATTCACAACAGATTTCGAACCTTGGAATACAAATGAAATTGATCATATTGTAGAAAGAAATCTTCTATTTTACCTTGATTATATATTGATTGTTCATTGGAAATATCCATTGGACAGATGAGATTATTTGAAATCTTAATAATATCTAAATGTGAAAGCTAAAATGGAAAGCGAAATGATATTTATACAAGTAGATTAACACTTTATGTCTTTGTTCTCTCGAATAGAAGAGAATAAAGACCTATATAAGGTCAATCTACGATGAATCGGTCATCATATATATTTACAAGAGAATATAGGTCAAATAAACTTCAATAGACAAAGATTAAAATGACACAAAGGGACGTTTTTCTATTGCATAGCTCTGCAAAATTGTGTCGATCTATTCATTGATGACATCGTATACTCAGTTCCCGATTAGATCTCACAAAGTTGTTAACCATCTTAAGTCAGTTCCAGTCAATCCTTGTCAGTTACAACCAATTCCAATCACAACACTCTATGAAATAGATAGATGAGCTAAATATTCTCAATTTTACAATAATAGAATAAAAGTGTCATTAAATGATTGGTCATTCATACAAGAAAAATAATGGTGATAACCACGCAGAAGATGCAGTATTAATATTAATCTTCCTGTCTTCTGGGAGCCGGCAGAAAGGGTTAAAGACTAAACAGGTGGCAAAAACTATTTGTCCATTTCATGAATTCAACTCGTTATATCATTTGAGAGAATCTTTTAAGATTTGCCATCGGATTTCTTTTTAATCAGTAAAAAACGTTACTGTTCCTTAGATATAATGATGTTAAACTAGATTTCTGTTTATAAACGCATGGACGAAGATTTGAATATTAAATAAAATCTTATTAATAGAAAATCTTTTGTTAAACATATTTCTAATTTAAAATTCGTTGTTCAAAAGAATATTTGTCCCTGGATTAATGATCTTCTCACAGTCATTTGGATTCATGTAGAGTGTGACATTGCCAGATACTTTTTTTTCCCGTAAGAAAATCTTGTCTTATAAATTAATTATACTTCTAGTTATAACAGATTTCATGAACAAAATCTGCTGATGAGATACTTCAAACAGAGTCAAAATTTGCAAAAAAAGATTCATATTCAAAGATCTTCTCATATATGATGATGATGTCTTCTTTGGAAATTGATGAAAATTTGATTCAATCATGGAATAATGCATCGGATTCACTTAATCGTTATTTTCCAATATTTATTTATACATTTGGTATTACTGGAAATCTTCTAAATATTCTCGTTTTATCTCAACGACCACTTCGATTAAATCCTTCAGCTCTTTTCTTTATGTTTTCATCAATATCAGGTCTTATTGCACTTCTTAGTGGTTTAACAACACGAATGATGGCTGGTTATTCAACTGATATGACAACAACAATTGATTGGATTTGTAAAATTCGTAATTATGTATTATATAGTGCAAGAACAATTACTCTTTGGTCAATTACATTTGCAACAATTGATCGTTGGTTGGCATCAAGTACAAATGTTCATAAAAGACAATTAAGTACATTAAAAAATGCTCAACGAAGTCTTTTCATTGTTCATATTTATGCAATTCTTCTTAATGTTCCAATTCTTTATTGTTATCAAGCAAATTTAACTGGAATTCTTCGAGGTTGTTATGGTGCAACATATTCTTGTCGTTTAATAACTGATTTTATTTATACAATAGCAACAACATTATTTCCATTAATACTAATGATTATTTTTGGTTGTTTAACTATTCGAAATATTCGTCAAACACGACAACGTATTTTGAATGTAACAATGATTAAAATGAGTGATGAACGTCCAACAACAATGGTACATATTCATGGAAAACATAATAAAAAGACAGAAAAACATTTACTTGAAATGCTTGGTGTTCAAGTGACTTTATTGGTGATTTTAACATTTCCACATGGA